CTCTAACCTACTAATTATGAGTTCTCTTTTACATTATATTATGATACCTCTAACAAATTTAATTGCCCCCCCCCCCTACCTAAATTTCTGGCTCCGTCCCTGCGAGAGCCGAGAGTCGACTACTCGTCTTCTGTCAAGCAAATCATTCAATGCAGCCCAATCCTCTGCGTCTCTCGACTCTTTCTCCTTTGTTAAATGTTCTTCACAAGAAGCTCTTGCTCTTCTATCTCGTCACTTTGGCAACTAGTGGAAGCCGACCACTTACAAAGGTCAGATTGTCAAATTTTTCCTCTTCCTGATACCTCTGTAGCAGTCAATTTCTTCCTTGATTCAATTTGAAATTCTGGGTTCAATTTCGATTTCTTGAATTTAATTTTTGGGTTCATTGACGAAGCAATGACCCTCTGTTGAAATCCTGAAAACGAAATTGTTGTGGCCAGTTCAAGTTCAGTTTTGATTTCTTAACAATGTCGAGAGCCTCCCTAAGACCAATCTTCTTCTGACTGTGTTTTCTGGATTCTTCTTGCAGGGTGGAGCAGCGTACAGTGGAGCTGTGTACGCTGGAGTAGTGTTGCATAGTGCAACAGTTCCTCTCGACATCATTCAGGGCAACATGGCCGAATATTCTTCAAGAGGTAATTTTCTTCTAAAAATGATTTTATTGCAAATGGTTTTTTCTTATGTCTACCATCTTCGTCTAATATGGGAAGAAGGGCTCAAGAGGTTGTGTTTAATATTGGGTTAGTTGCATACTGTTGCAGTTGATATGGGTTAGTTGTATGTTGCTACTATTTAATTAGTTAAACTGGGTTAGTAGCATATTGCTTCTGTTGTAAATTCGCTATTGTTGTTGTCGCTAATCCACTACTGCTATGTTTAATATTTACACTTTTGTGCTCACTTGCAGACAAAAAATGGCTCAAGAGGCTGCTGTTGTTGCTAATCCACAACCACAAAACCAACAGGTTGCTGTTGTTGCTAATCCACAACCACAAAACCAAACTAATCCAGAAGCACAAAATCTAGAACCCAAACTTGATGGTGATGATAAAGAGGTTCTAAATTTGGGAAACCTCAAGAGTGATGTGTGGAAGCACTTTATTAAGATAAAAAAGGGAGAACTCATCAAGGCTAAATGCAACCATTGCAAGAAGTTGCTTGCTGGTGAATCTAATAATGGTACTTCGCACTTGAGAAATCATGTGAAGACTTGTATGCAAAGGAAGATTCATGATGGGAAGCAAAAGGTACTCGGTGCTAACTTTGTCATTAAGGGAAAGAGGGAAATGGTTGCTACTCAGTTTAACGCAGCTGTTTCGAGGCAAGATCTTGTTGTGGCCGTTATTATGCATGATTATTCTCTGTCTATGGTGGAACACTTATATTTTAGGAGGTTCTTGTCTGGCCTCCAGCCCTTGTTTAGTGTTCCTACAAGGAATACTCTTAAAAGCGACATTTTTAAGATGTATGAGAGTGAGAAGAGTAGGATAATGAAACTGATTGGTGGTAACAAAGGGAGGGTTGCCATTACCACTAATATGTGGACAACAACCAACCAGAAAAAGGGTTACATGGCTGTTACGGCTCATTATGTGGACAATTCTTGGATTCTTCGAAGTCACTTGCTTAGGTATGATATGTAATACGTAATTTCAATGCTTTCTTGTTTATTTTGTGAGAAGGAGTCACTAACTTACCATTTTCCAACTGCTGTCTTTTCTTTTTTGTAGGTTCGCTTATGTTCCAACTCCGCATACAAGTAATAGGCTAGCTACTGCTTTGTTTGACAGTATGATGGACTGGAATGTCGTTTCTAAGGTATCAACTATAACCTTGGATAACTGTAGCACCAATGATTCCATGATTGAGAAGGTTAAGAATAAATTGGTGATGTCTTGTTTGCTTAAGGGGGTGCTTTACTGCATATGAGATGTTCTGCACATATTTTAAACTTAATAGTTAAAGATGGGTTGGATGTGCTTCGAGATGGCATTGAAACAATCCGTGAAAGTGTAGCTTATTGGACTGCTACTCATAGGAGGATAGAGTTATTTGAGGGGGCAGCAAAGTAGTTGGAGTTTTCTTGTGATAAAAAGTTGATTTTAGATTGTTCGACTCGCTAGAATTCAACATATGATATTCTGGCTGCTGCAATACCGTATGAAAAAGTGTTTATTAGACTGAAACAACGTAACTCTCACTATACTTGTTTGCCTACAAGTGATCATTGGGCATTTGCACCGATTGTTTGTGACAAGTTGCAAATTTTCAGTGAGATATCCGATTTGTTCTCTGGTACCAAGTATCCTACTGCCAATCTATTCTTTACAAAGATATGTGATTTGAAGTTAAAGATTTGTGAGTGGCTTGTTGATGATAATGCTATAATTTCTATGATGGCTGAATTGATGTGGGATAAGTTTAAGAAATACTGGGATGATATTCATGAAATACTAGCCGTGGCTGTTGTGTTGGACCCGAGATATAAGCTTCATATTGTGGAATATTATGCTCGAAAGTTTGAAGTGGGTCAGTCTATCTTGGATGTGGTCAAATCAGGGCTGTTTTGAGTGATTTAATCACAGAATATCAGTCTAAGATGAATAAGAATGTCGGGGTTGCTTCTGGTGGTTCGAGTGCTCAATCACTTGGTGGTTCTTCTTATGTGGATCTCGACTTTCAACTGTTTGTACAGCAAAAGAAAAATTCAAGAGGAACACCTGCTCAAACTTATTTGGACAGGTTTTTGAGTGAGGAAGTGTTACCTTGGACTGCCGATTTCGACGTCTTGTTGTGGTGGAAGTTGAATGGGGCTAAGTATCCCATTTTGCAAGATATTGCAAGGGATATGCTTGTTGTCCCTGTTACATCTGTTGCATCTGAATCGGCTTTTAGCGTTGGTGGTCGATTGTTGGATCCTAGTCGTTGCAAACTTCACTACAACACTATGGAGATTTTGATGTGTACGAAAAGTTGGCTTCAAAATTCGATTTCAATAGGTATATATCTTATTCAATAACTTTTACTTATTTCTAAGTTATCTTTATATAACTTCTATTTGCTCACTTGTACGAATTAGCAGCTGACCCTGGAACTTTGGAGGAGATTTGTGAATTGCTCAATAATGAAGAGAATGAAGATGACACAGAAGGTAAGTAATGTCATAGTTTTAATAGTATAATATATATTGCAATTGAAAATGCTCATGTATCTTCTTTTTTGTTTATCTATGAAGATCAATCTTTGGTGAATCTTAATTCGACCTATCAATTGATAGAAGACTAATGAATGATGATTTATGGAGTTGGAGTATCTGGAAGTTTGCTGCTGGAGTTTGCTTGAATGTTTCTGGAATTTTGCTGCTGAAGTTTTTTTGCTGGAAATCTGCTTGTTTGCTGGGTACATTATTGCTGGAATTTTTTGGAGTATGCTGGAATCTGTCTGGAGTTTCTAGAATTTTGTTGCTGAAGTTTTTTTGCTAGAAATCTGCTTGTTGCTGCGTACATTGTTGCTGGAATTTTTTGGAGTATGCTGGAATCTATTTGGAGTTTCTAGAATGTTTTTGGAATTTTGTTGCTGAAGTATTTTTTATGGAAATCTACTTGTTTGCTGTGTATATTGTATCTGGAATTTTCTGGAATTTGCTGGAATCAGTCTGGAAGTTTGCTGAGATTTATTGGAGGGTTGCTGCTGGACTTTTGATGCTGTAAATCTTCTTGTCTGCTGGAATTTTGCTGCTGGAGCTTGCTGGAATGTTGTTGGAGTGTGCTAGCATTTTGCTTCTGAATTTCTTTTGCTGGAAATCTGGTTGTATGCTGGGATTTTTCAAACTGTTCACTTTGAACTTGGTTTCATGTAGCTTTTTGATTTGGTAAATCTCAAGAGATGCTTGAATTTCCAAATGGAATGTTATTGTATTTGTGTGAAAGGCTTATTGTTATGTTAGTTCATATTGAGTATTTCATATTTTGTTTTAGGTTAAATACACTTGTATATCCAAAACTTTCACGGTTGTGCCAATAATATCCAAATTTCTTGAAATACCACTTATATCCAATTCCTTCATATTCTTTAACGGTGTTTTTGGATATACAAGTGTATTTAACCAAAAATATATTGGGAAATGTATAGATTTGGCAAAGAACAACTTTAAAACATGGATATAAGTGGTATTCCGGGAAATTTGGATATTATTGGCACAACCGTGAAAGTTTTGGATATACAAGTGTATTAAACCTTTGTTTTATTTTCTTATGATTTGCTCATAGTTTTATGAACAAAGAAGGAAGATTTGAGATCTCGGCGGATATCCGTGGGCCGTTCGGGTATACCCGATACCCGCTCGGGTACGGGCATGGTATAGGATTTAGCAGGTTTCAAGAAGGCGCGCCTAGGCGCATGCCTAGGCTCAATTAGGCGCTAGGCGGTGGAAGATCGCCTTGACTTGGCCATAGGCGTTGTAAAAGGCGCTGATAGCGCTTAGTAGGTAGGAATAGCGCTTAGTTTGCGCCTAGTGGAGAGAAGGCGTGCCTGGGCGAGCTTAGGCGGTTAAATCCAATACTCTTCGTTATGTCCTAGAAAATCAGAAACTTGCCTCTTGCCCTAGAAAATAAGAAACACGGGAAGTAACATCTGCTACCGCCTGCCGCCCTAGCTCTCGCCCCATTTGCTGCTCTCTGCCGCCGCCGGAGAAAGTCATCGATCACTCTTCTCGCCTTCACACCGCTCCGCTGCTATAGTGAGAAATAAAGTCAAAACTCGTCAATTGCTGCCCCTTCCTTCTCCTCGGTACGTAGCACAAACTTCTTGCCTTTATAAGCACATATTAGCAGATGATTGGTCACTATTTGCTTGTTATTTGTTATGTTAAGTGTTTACTGTTAAGAACTAGGCATTGCTAATTTTATATGCACTTGGATTATATGAATTATTCCAGAAAATAGAAAATATTTGAGAATTTTTTCATTTATACTCTAAACGCCTAGGCGTGCCTAGGCTACTCCTAATCGGGGAAGGCTCAAGTCAAGAGACGAACGCCTGCCTTACGCCTAGCGCCTTTTAGAACATTGGGATTTAGTATCCATGCTCCTACTTCGAGCGGGTTCCAGTATACCCGAAGATCTTCGCGGGCGGGGATTGGATACTCATTATCCGTACCCAACCCGACCCATTGCCAACCCTAATTACAAACAGACAGGATCATTGCACACGCTGCTAGGCTACCACCAATCAGTGACACAATCCTCGGGGGGATATCATAACGGAAAGGCCCAATACTCTCACGTAGAGCATTGATCCATGCTTAGCTATTTATCCTACTGTGGGCCTCTTCTACACTGGAAGAAGAAGGCGCTTCTCTACCGAAAGTTATTTGGCCCATTTATTAGTTGGGCCAATTAGCTCCGTTCGGGTGAAAGGAGACGGAGATTTTCGTTTCCAGAATCCAATCAATGTCTAGAGACTTCTTCGAGTTCGAGAGACAACCGGAGGAGCAAACCCCTAAACGCTGATTTCCAATCGGTCTCTCTCCGACGAGTTGGTCCCCGGAGGAAGGAGGATTTGAATCGTCGATCTTGTAGGTTTTCCATTTCCTTTTTCTCTTTGGTTTCGGTTGATTCGTTAACTTTAGAAGTTGATTAGTTCTTGTAAAAATCGATACCTTGAACTATCGAAGGATTCCTTGAGTAATATGAATAACTATTTCTGGGATTGTTGCAGCACGAGTGAAGTTCTTGATTTTTTTTTCTTCTTTTTCAATTGAGTTCTGGCAGCTGAAGCTTGCATTTTTGTAGAGTATTTGATATGCATTTGCGGTAAAGATTGATTGTGCCAAATTCGGGTATCATCAGTTAAGGGGATGCTTAATCCCTTCACTGATTCATTCCTTTTGGAACGTTTGGGCCTTATGATGGGATACAATATCTGTGAAGTAGTCTCAAAGTATTTTGGTTGAGAGTTTAGATAGGTTTCGATGTAGTTAATTGTCAGTTAATTACTTGATTTCCTCAATTTCCTATTTTCTAGTATTATTTAGGGTTAGAGTAGTGGTGGATTAAGCTATGTTCGTCATGAGAAGGGGTTTGTAATCCCATTTCTATTATGGGTTGTTTCATAGTTTTAGCAACGATGATGTTCGGGTACGTTCCATTTCCTAATACATGGTGTAAGGATTGGGTAAAGAATGGTAAGGAAGAAATTAAACAGATGTGTGTTGTTGTTCTCACGCTGACAGAACCCTTGTGGTGGTAGTGTGGAAATAATGTAAAATAGTTGGTTTAGTCAAAACTCTGACTGAGATTTATCATGTTGCTAGCCCATTATTATCATCTGCCCACAGGGCAGAGTTTAGTTTTTTATATGCTGCCTTGGATGACCTGCTGAATAATCCTATTTTTCCTGATCTTTAAATTGGGCCAGCTGGTGTTTCACTGTGACTGTTGATGTTCAAGCTGGTCTGATTTCTTGAGGTATGCTGAAGTAACTGTACTCTTTTTTGGGTTGTTGTAGTTTGTACATTGCGGCGAAAATGGGTCGAAAAGCTGGCCAGCTATACATAAACCCCAAGAAGTTTGGCTCCATGGCGAAACCATGCATGACCAACATGATATCCTTGCTTAACTGCTTGTCTATGAACCAGATGAAAGATAGCAATTGCGTCAAGGAAAAAGAGTTGCTTAGTGCTTGCTTGGATGCACAGGTGAATGTCACTTCGGTTATAATTTGTTTCTGAAATGATCTCACTATATCTGTTTATACCAATCTTTCAGAATGTTGAAAGTACAGCATGCTTCATCTTTTGCAACTTAATCTGCCAATTCACATGCTGTTCCTGACGTTTTATTCTAAACTCTATCGTGCAGAATAGCAAAAACAATTCCTGGGGAAGTATCAACTACCATCTGCAGAGGCTGAGCAAGGGAAGGAAGTGAAAGTTTTGGCTTGTTCTTATAGTTCATCAGTTATGGAGAGTATTAGCGTGGGAAGGAAATTCTTCTGCCCTGGTCACGTCCCTCCCAACTCTTGCTCTTATAATCGACATTTGCATTCTGTTGTACCGTAATGCCGAATTTTGAACATAAACTTCTGTTTCATGGTTATATCCCTCCCTAGCTAGGCATCATATTTATCGGAGCTGAATCTTTCCATGATTTGCCCAGTTCAAATTAAATTCTTAGTTTTCAGGAATTGAATCGCTCACACGATCGAATGTCTGTGTGCTTTTCTGTCTCTCTGTCTGTGCCAGTGACAACACTCAGAAGCCTGTCCTGATAAATGAAACAAGTTTCTTTCTTAATGGTGATTGTTGATTGGTTCTTTTCTTTGTGATTTGGGGATTTCTTGTTCCCTTTGGGAATTAGGATGGTTTTAACTTTTCGTACCATTAGAACCAGATTTCCATTCTGGGGATGCCTAATGTCATGCGTTGGCAGGAAGCAATGGCTTTGACACGAAAAAGGGCATATACTTCGCAGTGAAGCATGACGATTATGATTCTGAAATTTGTCGCGATTTAGGCAAGCAGCTTTTAGTTTAGCAACCAAACTAACATCTGGCCCTTTGCGAATTGCTCTATGTACCTTTGCGATTATTTATAGATCCAGCAGTCCCTTTGTCCACCTACTTTCAAATAACTACGTGAATGCTATAAACCCCAGCTCTGATGGAGAACTTCATTCCCAATTTCATTTCTCATGGTTTCAGATGGGATTTTCCTTCCACCAATGGTATCTAGAGAGGATATCTTATAGTATATTTTCCCATGTGAAATGTTATTTAGATCTTTGAGTCTAGTTTGATTAAGAATACATATTTAGAGATGCTATTTGGCTTCATGTGTTTATTTAGATGCTATTTCAAATTTTGATTCTATGCTAGTGTTAGGGATGATAATGGGTCGAATAATTGGGTCGGTTTTCTTTAACCGCAAATCCTATTCAACCTGGTGCATCTATTGAAAAAATTGATAAAATATTCACTGGGTTTTAGAAGGGCAAATTCAATCCAACCCAACCCAACAGGTACCCATGGGTTCTCAAACATAACTATGTATTATTTCTCTGAACACCCCATACTGATGAAGATTTTCTTACAAATATATCTTTACAAGACTAATAAGATTCATAGATTATTCATATTATTAAGTTTATATTGACATAATGACTAATATCGTTCATAAATTATTAATATTATTCATGTTAGATGCAAAGTGGTATTATTTTACTTTTGGGTACAAGTTGGGCGGAAAGCGGGTTGAGTTTTGCTACCAATTTCAAAACCCGCACTCACCCAAAGTCAATGTAACACTGAATTATCCGCTTTGACTGGGTTGGATCGAAATGGATATACTAGTGAATTCGGCTTCAATTGTCATCCTAGTTGGTGTACTATCTCTGCTACAAACAACTAACGATCTTTCTTCAATACATCTTCTTGTGTGTTACCCGTACTAGGATGCTGCCAACAATTTAGTTAGGGAAGAAACTGATTCCTTTGTCTGCCAAATGAGGGGGAAAAGTAAGGAACAGTAACCTCATGGTTGGGTTGTCCCTCAGGTTGTGCATATGCGCGCCCATTTGTTTGAGCTATAAAATGACAACAACGATTCTAGCTGTAGCTGACGATGGAACCTAAATCTCTGTGTGTGTGTATTTCTGTCAGGATTGCATGTGCATTTGGGTCAATTATTATTATTAACTAAAGTTGCGAACCATCCCTGTCCTCAACTACCCAGAAAAACTGGAGAAGAAAAAAAAAAAAATCAAACTTGCAGCTAGTAGCCTGCAGACACTCTCTGCAGCATCAGCATGTATTTCAACAAGTTTTGACTTGAGGCGACCTTGTTCGGTTTGTAATTACGACATGGTTTTACCGACCTTGTTCGGTTTTGAGGCGAGCAGGGGAAAGAAACAGCAGGGGAAAAGGCGGGTTGGTTTAAGGCTGCTGCATAGAGAGAGAGAGAGAGAGAGAGAGAGAGGTGGGGGCTGTAAACGAAACCTTCCACACAAACACATTGATTGAATCTGAGAGGAAGAAGGAAGGCGAGGTGGGGCGGGCGGGCTGGCTTTTTGGACATCAAAATCTGCAAAAACATGCGCTACGTACAAAAGAAAAGAAGATGTCAGTAGCTCAAAAGGAAGGAAGGAAATCATAAAGAAAAAAATTGAAGGGATGATGATAAGGAGGGAATTAGATTCCCAGCCCACTAACTCGAACCACTGAATATATATATATATATATATATATATATAACGTCGGACCCATCATCTACCCACCAGCAGCTCTGTTCTGTTCTGGCTACTGTTCGTGCGACTGCGATGATAATATCTAATCTTCCAGATCCCTCCATGCAAAATTATAAAGTACTAGTCAAAAGGAATCCCCAGTTTTCAGTTTATACATACATGTGGTGGTGCTATTATATATATACAGTACTATGTATTATACTTCACACACAAGCTAAGTATATCTCTCTCAATCGAACTTTTCATTGCATGTCACGTGGAGGAATCCTGACCTGCAGAATTAGTGCTAGGCTGCTTTACATGATCGATCGAATTATTGTTCCTGAATTCGATATGGCAGGCTCCCTCTAATTAACATCACACTCTGATCACTCTCTCTTGTAAAGTAAATCTATCTAGGCTGTTTATGGTTAACTAATATTACATGCAGAGGGATTCCGACCACATTTAGCGTGTGTTTGAATAGAATTAACAATGTTGTCAAACAGTAAGAGTCGTGAATTCATTGATCAATTGAAAGATTGATCTATTTCTGATAATTTGGCAATTTGCTCTTGAGCAACACAGTTCAACTTGAGAAGTTGTACATTATATGGTCTTTCGTTGATTTTGTTTTTGACATATCTATATGTTTGTGCTAGATAGTGGGAGCGTCTAATATCACTAACTAGTGACAATAGTTTCACATTGATGATTCAAATTACCATATGAAATAATAGAATGTAGATAGAGTTTCAACTTCTTTTTCTCTTTTGATGAAATGTATAACTAAGAAAACTTATGAAGTTGGACCTTTTAGACTTTAGTGATGGTAGTCTACCCCAATTCTATGGTAAATTTGTCCATCAAATCGGAAACATGTGTACTCCAACCAATCATTTCCAAGCATGACCGATCTTGCCACTCATTGATTTAAAGTCGAAGATATCATTATAGATTATCATACACTCATAAAATCGTTTTTCTATTTTGCTATCGAAACTAATACAACCTTAAGCTATCGAGGGAGTTTGTCGAGTACATGAAGCTCGACTTTCCCCTATTTACAACAAAGAAATTCTTTTAGAGTGCCAGAGTTATTGATTCGGGATGTATTTTCCCTTTTCTATAAAACAACATCATAATACCGACATGTCCCTCTATAATATATAGACGTTCTTCAGGAGATTTTGAGCATTTCAAATTCCTTTCACTCTCCTTAATTGTAGCTAGGGGTAAATCTGTAAGTTCAACTTAGAACTTAAATATCTTCTCACGAGAAAAAAAAAATAAAGACACAGGAAAGGGGTTATTTACTCTTAACGGTCAAAGCGAACCCCTTCATTCCGAACATTCCGGATTAAAGATTAAAGAATTTGGGATGAATCAAATCTCTCCAAGTAGGATTCGAACCTACGACCAATCAGTTAACAGTCGACCGCTCTACCACTGAGCTACTGAGGAACAACGGGATTCATTACCAAGACTTGAACTCGAGTCCTTCAGATTGATAGTCAATATCCCTAACCAACTAGACTACAACAATGTTTATGTATTTTTTGAATTAAAGAGAGAAAATACTGAAATATCTCAAAATTATATGACCATCCACCGCAACAATCAATCATTAATTAATAACTGTAATTATTTACAAAGTGAATCATCATGATATACCTAGCTTTTTGAATCAACTAAGTGAGTTCCTCTAATCACACAATTCTTCACCAAGAATCAAATAGTACATTTTGAGTTTATGTCTGTCTTACAACTTTTACATTTATTAGGTTACATGACTTTGTAGTTTGTAGGAATACAAGGATTGTTTACAAAAGTGCTATACAAAATTTTATTTCAAAACATAAAATTTGACATTTGTGATCTATGGTTTTGTAACGAGACATTTTCAATGCTATAAGTGAATGACCAAAAAACATTGGCTAACAATTTCCCTAATGGTTGAGAATTATGGGCATAGAATTGAAAGACTAAATACCATTGACAAATGAGCCACTAGACCATAGATTAATCACGTAACTAAATTCTATATCATAATTCTCTAAATCCTAATATAGTGCATATGGTATGTTGTGTACATCTTGGCGAATCAGAATCATTGCTTATGTTCTTAGTATATGTGATATTAGGGTTTAAGTTCTATAGGTTTAGGGTATATGATTTAATTATTGGAAACTTAATCTCCCTTTTCAAATTTCCTGCAATGAGAGGGAAATTAGGAAGGACATTTTTGTCTTCACAATTATCTGTATATTTTTTTATTTATTTGCAGAAAAAGATAGACATAATGAGATTTGAACCATGGTCACTTCAAACAAAGTAAAGGTTTAAAATCTATGTAGATTTGTTGTATTCTTTTAAATTAAAAATATATATGAAGCTAAAATATGAAATCACAAAACTTTTCAACAGTTAGCTAGCCCAATAAATATTCCATAAGTACTTATTTGGTGTTTTGATACTTCAATTTTGATGTTTTTATTTTAATTATAGTTTAATACTTAATTTAAAATTTTATCTATATTATAAATAGACGATAACCATAAATTTGCAACCAAAATATTGTTGGTTCGAATATTTCATATCGAATTATAGTATTGAATATGTAGAAGCGATATAGAATTCTTAAATTATCATTAATTTTCAGAACTATAGTGAAACAATCATATCTTTGTGCAAACTATAGGGGACTGGTTCTCTGAACATTTTTGTCCGGTTAAATACTAAGTTTGAAACTCTTCCTAGGGGTGTGCGTGGGTCGGTTCGTTTGGGTTTAGATATTTTAATCACCTAAATCATATACCATGATTTTGAAAACACTAAATACAAACTCACCCAAATAATTTAGAATTTTAACGGTTTGTGTCCTCCATACCAAATGACCAATTTACATGTCGCTTAACTAAGGACGATCTCATTGTCCAATCCCATCATTCTAATGTCAATCCATAAAAGTAACCCATATTCGTGTTTGTTAACACGTGTTTCACATTGTCATTACCGATTTACCGTGACCGGTAACTTTGCCGCAACTGATTCGGTATTGCTCAT